AGCTTGTGCATCATAGCCTCGAGGGCATCACAACATGGCAACTCAACAGGTCGACCAGCTCCTTCAAGGTTGAAGCGCTTCTGGTTCCCATCAAAGGAAAGGAGCTGGTTGGCCTGTTGAGTCCATCGAGACAAGTTGCTTCGGGGTATTCCAGTCCGTGCTTCGAGCTCACGAGTAGAGCTCTTCTTCATCTGAGCCAGCATGGCCTGTGTGTAGCGTCGCCGAGGCCTTTTCTGGGGGCTCATCTTGTCGCGCATTGCATGCAAAAAATGCCCCTCGTTGGTCATCGAGGTTCAATTGTCGCGCGAATTTAAAATGTTTTCCCGCCAAACTGCTATTTTTGCCAATCAAAGCCCTGCATTCTTTTTTCTATTGTGATTGGCGGAATATTTGTGTGTAATGTTAAAACTTCGCTGTCCCTTAAAAACTGTCGCCGCCTGTAGTTAGTACCGTTCAATGTGCAAGAATTTGGAGGGTGACGTCGACAAGGCCATTTTGTCTTCGATGTTTTCCCACCAAAATCCCAAGCAAACACCCCCCCATGCCCCATGTTGATTACGAACAGTCGCTGTTGGTGCACGGATGCATCAGGTTGCGCCGACTTTTTGAACGTATCCGTTCAACAGGATCGACGTGACGCTACGACTTGAGAAGTGCACACGTGTATACTACTACATCGCTGTGAAACCTTTTCATACTCGCCACACCACGAACAGAGTATTCATGAACCTAGAGCTCGCTAAACGACTCTGTACTTCACTGCACCTTCTGCTGTCGTCGCATCAAAATTGCGCTATGGAGTCGAGTAGGGAGATGCCAGTGACCTTGGCATAATGATCAATGTACTTGCGCACCTTGGGTGGCCACACGACGTTCTTGGCAAGAGTGAGGCGTCGGAGGCGACCAAAGAGGTCGATGTCATCGTAGCTGAGAGTATCGTTGATTGTGAGTGGAGTCTTCAGCATACCGTCTAGCTCGACCAAGTACTGGTTGAACGAGTCAATGTAAGTGGCGGAATTGGCAATGCACGCATCAAACGACCCGACCAAGGGTTCCTTCTTCTTGCGATAGTACGCTCGCGATGCCGGTTCGGCAAACTCAGCAAAGTACCCGGTTTCTGCCCGCGGATGATACAACCGGTTCATGACGTCCGCCGAATCTTGAAACCACTTTGTCAAATCCTCGCGGGTCTCCGCCTCGGACTCTGCCAGAATGGCCTTGCCGCCGTAGTGAGTGTCGACGTACCGCACGATATCCATGCTTTCCTTCATGATCATCCCCTCTGGCGTTTCCATAATCGGCACGACCTTGGAGCCCACGAGAGCCATGGGAGTCGCTACGTCCCGGTTTTGCAAGAACACGATTTCAACGTCGACTCCTTTGAGTGCAAAAATGGCTCGGACACGTGTGCTAAACGGGCAATGGTCGTAGATATACACGCGGGGCTTCGCTGCCAGCACCTTTGCGACCTTGGTCAGTCGCGCCGCGGAGACCTTGTACCCAATGCTAATGCCAGCCCCCAGGCCTCCGAACGCAGCAAGAAGCACAGCTTTCGACACGCCTCCAAAACTCATGTGCCGCCGTGCAGACGAAACGGGTTCTCATTACAGGTTCCCACGAACGAGCTTTCCAAGTGCCATGCTCGCTAGTTGATTGGCTTGGTAGCCCTCAAATGATTGCTAACAAGGTTTAAAATAGATTCCCGCAACTACAGTATCACATTGTTTTTGTACTATTACTATTAGTACTTACTACTAGTAGTACATAGTAATACCCAGCCGGGGAATGTGAACCCAAGTGTATGCCGAGCCAATTCCGCCCGACGCAACGCCCCACCCTCCGCTACCAAGCATGCACGCTTCCTCGGCAAAATGGCCATTGGCAAACGTGAACTTTTCTGTCGTACAACAGTTGCAGTTTTCGATTTGTCACTGCGGAGCTGCATGGATCTTCATCGAATCCACATCAGTGGAGGCAAGTAGGGAGAAGCTGCGACAATGAGACTGTGCTGGGACTATCCCTCGTCGAGTAATTGTGAACCATGCCGTCGTGCGATGGCCATTTCGAAATATGCATTTGATTGAGTCTGTGAATGGATATCAAGTCAACGGGTTGAAGGCGTGACTACACTGGTTCAGAATTGCGCAATCGAGTCCAAAAGAGGGACGTCCGTGGTCTTGGAGAGCCCGCTGATGTACGCACGCACCCGTGGTGGCCATACGACACCCTTGATGATTGTGAGACCGCGCAACCGCCCGAACAGGTCAATGTCGTCGTAGCTAAGCGTTGCATTGACCGTCTGCGGCGTCTTCAACATTCCTTCCAAGTCTGCCAAGTGCTGGTTCAGCGCCTGAATATACGCTGGAGAGTTGGCAATCGAGACATCGAACGACCCAATGCTCTTCTCCTTCTTCGTCTTGTAGTAGTTCCGGGAAGCCGATTGCGCGAATTCGGCAAAGTATCCCGCTTGGAAGCGAGGATGATATAGGCGACGCATGACATCCGCGGAGTCGTGAATCCATTTCTTGAGATCTTCGCGGGTCGGGTCGGCATCGGCTAGGATGGGAGTACCTCCGTAGTGCGTGTCGACGTACCGGACAATATCCATGCTTTCAGGCATCACAATCCCCTCGGGCGTTTCCAAGATAGGCACAACCTTTGCGCCAACAAGTCCAATCGGTGTCGCTTCGTCGTGGTTGGCCAGGAACACGAGCTCGACGTCCACACCTTTCAACGCAAAGATCATTCGCGCACGGACGCAAAACGGGCAATGGTCGTAGATGTACAGGCGAGGCTTCGTAAGCATTTTCTTTGCGTTCTTCGCCACGAGTTTCGACGCCGCCACAAATCCCAGACCCGCGCCAGCTGCCAGCCCGCCGAGTACACCCAGCGCCACAGACGACCGCGACATTGTCTAACCCGAAGTGAAGCAGATGCAGTATCCGGATGTTATTCGGAATTTTTCTTTGTGAGATCAATCCAATCTACTGCGATGGCCGCGGAACCTCCAACTGGCAGTAGCAGTGGCGCTGCTGCGCCGGCGGCGGAAGAGCAGGGGGGATCGGGATGGTTCGGAATTCTCCGCATGATCGTGTTGTGGTATGGGATCCAGAAGGTCACATCGTACCTGTGGACTGGCAGCTTCAACGGTTCCCCGCAAACGCCAGGCCATCAGCAAAATCCATCGGCGCTGCACCAACAACCCGTGGTGGTTCAGCCTTCGGCAGACCTTGATGTCGTCCAACACGAAGTTGCGTCACCCGTTGTGTCCCAGCTAGTGTCTGGGCTGGAATCGTTTGACCCCAACTTCAATCCGTTCCGCAAATTTGCCGCGGTGTCTTCGACGGGGAAAAAGCTCCCACCGCACACGAACTTGTTTCCCCTCGGCATCTCGCTCGACCTCCTTGTCTATGTCACAGAGTCTGCCGAGTTCGATTTCGCCAACAACGACGCCACCACCGCCTCCGCTGTGTGGTCCGAGCCCGGATTGACCTACAACTTTGTTGCCGACGACCCCGAACGCAAGGCGCAACTGAACGTGTCGGTGAGCAATCGTGTGCTACACGAGAACGCCACGCTGTACGCCCACGTGTTCTTTACGCGGTCGAGCAACTCCCCCAACCCCCAGGACTCGAGTATGTTCACGTCGCGACTCCTTTCAGTCGAATTCACTTTGTACGCTTAGATTTCGATCCAACTGCGACTGTGTATCGTCAGCTCGAACTGATTACGTACCGCCCTCGCGTCAAGACGACCAAGCGGCGCAACTTGCTTCAATCCGCGACTCCCGACGACGCCGACGACGCCGACGATGCTCTTGACTTGACGACATTCGTGGCGCACTGGAAACCGTCGTTGCTTGTAAACCTTGTGTGCGATCACACGGTATATGCGCGGGGGACGGCGCCGCTGCCGTTCATCGCCCCGTTCATGCAGGTGGACCCGGTGTCCGGGCAGTACCTCCCCATTCTTTACGTGAACGACTTTTGGGTGCTGGAAGATCACTTGATCGCAATCAATCGAACGACGACGGTCCTGCCGCTAGAGCTCACGTACTACCCGATGTCGCTCATCAAGTTTGGGCTGTACCAGCAAATGACGCAGAACTTTCGAAACCAGCAAGCGATGGGGACCGGCACGAAGAAGGACTCGGACGCGATCAAGAAGCTATTCATCGAAACCAACCCGTACTTGCTCGCCGTGACAGTCATCGTGTCGATCCTGCATACTGTGTTTGACATGCTTGCGTTCAAGAACGACGTGAGCTTTTGGCGCAAGCAAAAGAGCATGGAGGGGCTCAGTTTGCGAACAGTCGTCCTCAACGCGTTCTTTCACTTGGTCATCTTCTTGTACCTCCTCGACAACGACACGTCGTGGATGATTCTGTTCAGCTCGGGGCTGGGAGTTGTGTTGGACGTGTGGAAAATCCACAAAGCGATCAAGGTGACCCGCGATACCGCCACGGGCAGCTGGAGCGTCGAGAGCGAAGACAATTACGCGTCGTCGACGGCCGAGCACGACCGCGTCGCGGTGGCGCACGTGTCGTATGTCATGTACCCGCTCTTGGTTGGATACGCCGCGTACCAACTTGGGTTTAGCGAGCACAAGAGCTGGTACTCGTGGGTCCTGTCGTCGCTAACGAGTTTTGTGTACGCGTTTGGGTTTATCATGATGACGCCGCAACTGTACATCAATTACAAGCTCAAGTCGGTTGCGCACTTGCCGTGGCGCGCGATGGTGTACAAGTCGCTGAACACGTTCATCGACGATCTGTTTGCGTTTGTGATCACGATGCCGATGATGCATCGCCTTGCGTGCTTCCGCGACGACATCATTTTTTTCGTCTACTTGTACCAGCGGTGGATATACCGCGTCGACAAGTCCCGCGTGAACGAATTTGGCCAAGGCGGCGATGGCGACCAAGACGCCGACGTTTTGCCTCCCACGACCCCCGCCGTCGCTGCCGCGGACCCGACAACTGCTGGCACGCCGGCGGACAAATCGCAAGCAACCGCAGCCCCTGTGTCGCCCACAGCTGCGCCTCGTCGCCGCTCGAAACTAGACAAGGCTTAGGACATGTAGGAGCTCGACCCACGTTGGCAGATAAATAACTCGCATTCAAGTTTGCGTCCATTTCCCCGACGCTTCATGATCTCTTCTTGGTCGACTTCTTCGCCCCCTTCTTTCCCTTTTTCTTTCCCTTCTTGCGTTCTTTTCGAGCGTTCAGGAGCTTTCGAGTGATGTATCCTCGATATGTAGCCTGGATCCGCGCGACAAGCTTGAGAAACGCGGCCTCTTTTGCCAGGCGCGCCTTATCCTCTGCATCCCATCGGGCATGGTCGGCCGCCGCGAAACGGTAGTTTTCGTCGAGCCGAAGGAATATTGCCGAGAGCCGCGCGACTTCGGTCACCTCGGTCGCCATGGACGCTCTTGTGGCGTCGATTTGAGCTTGCAGCGCTGTTAGGTCGTGGTCGTATTGCTCGATCTGGTTGCCGACTTCGACAGCTGCCTTCAACTTGCGCTTGCGATGACCTTCCTCCTGCACAGAGTGGTCTTCTTTACTCTTTGTGCCGCGAACATTCAACGAGTCCGCTTCATCCCGGCATTGCGTCGCCTACGCAGCAACGTATGTGGGTTGCGAACAAACGAACGACAGCAGCCCGTCGTTTGTTCGTGCGCCAGGCCCCCAATTCGTTGGACACGACTCGTCCACGTACTTGGCCTTCGTAAGTGTTCAATAAAGAAAACTCGGCATGCTTTGCATCCTGTTCGATTAACGTCGCGGCTTGGTCCGCACCTTGCTCAATGTCGTGCAGCTCGTCTAGCGTATCGCCGAGATAAGTCCTCGGAGCCATCCATCGTCACGAGTAACTACAGCCATGGATACAATTGAATACGTACGAGTCAATCCATGAATCTTGAGTGCATATCGCCGGACGTCGATGTCGCGGAGCTCGCGCTGGTTGCGGACATCGATTGTCGTTTGCTTGTAGTCGTTTTCGGCTTCCCGGATGCGGATTTCCATGTCGCCCATCATTTGCCGTGTTGCTTCGTCCTGCTCGACGCTCGTGGAGAGTGTCCCGGCCACGCGGTCTCGCACGGCAGTCACGTAACCGCTAAGTGCCACCAACCCGGACGTGCCATGTTTGAGTTGATGGCTCCAGGGTGGATACGAACTTTCTTGATTACTGTGAGATGCAAAGCCCCCACTGCCGTTGTGACGTGAAGCCCCCGCACTTTCACGATGGCCATCAATCTAGGAGCACAACATGCTTCGTCAGGCTCCTGTTGGGTTCATGCTAGCTCGATGGAACGAAGAGGTTTATCGTCGAACGTCGACTTGCCCACCAACGTACCGTCGTGAGAACTGCATGGGCCGTAGCATCATGCCGCACAATGCGACAGAATGACCGCGTTAAGGCGACGACTTCGTCAAAGGCCATGGCCCCTTCGCCACCGTCATGCATGAGGTCGATTTTCCCGCCGTGCGTTGCTCGGAGGAGGATTTCTTCTTGAGCAAACTAGACACAAACACGTGCTTTACCAAACGAATTCCACGGCTAGCTCAGTCTATTGCAAAGAACTTACGAGCTGTGCGAGGACGTCGGCCGCTGGAGGTTGACTTTGCTCATAGTGGCCGTCGCGTGGGCGAGATGGAAGGGCGTCGACAAGCGTTGACTGGGATTGCGCGACAGCAGCTTCGCCGTCGTTCCCGCCTCTCATATACGGTAGGTGGGACAGCAACGTGAGCTTTTCGACTGCCTCCGTTAGCACACACAGCAGTCGCGCGCTCTCGGCGCCGGTAAACTTGTTCATCGCGATGTGGTTCCGCCGTTACAATGATGTTAAACTTTGCTGCACCCCGACGGTTACATGGACAGACGAGTTCCAATTGAATACGTTAGGGGGTTTTCGGGGTGCGATCACTACTTTGGTCGCTCACGCCGACTTCGACGAAATCGTCGTCGTGCTTCGTTCCAGGGGGAGCTGCTTCACCGCCGTCTGCGACTTTAGTCTCCAATGCCACTTCGTCGAGAACTTGTTTCACCAGCGCGTCCACTTGGGCATCGCCACTGTCGTTGGACGCTTGAGTTGACGGTGAGACCGCTGATGAAGTAGCAGTCGTCATGACTTGCTGGGCTTCTGCGAGAAGGGCCGTCACGTGGACAGCAACATCTTCATTTTGCAGTGCTTCGTTCATTGCGTAGTCGAGGGTGTCGTCCTCACTGAAGTTATCTTCGTCGTCGAGGTTGGCCACAAGTGATGCCAAGCCGTCGTCTGGGGCAATTGGCGCGAGATACGAAGGTGCCACTGTCGGTGAAGGCTCACTACCCCGCAGACGCTGCAGCCGGGCTTCCAGTGTACTCAACGGAGGCACCACGGTGGTCTCCATCTTGAGAGCTGCCAATCGCAGCGCCAGGTCCGACGCTATCGGGAGTTTCTGTTCCTGTGCGCGCTTTACGTCTTGCGCCTCGGCAAATTTGTGCAAACTGTGCATTCGTTCGTCGATCGAGAAATTGTGCAAAGACGGCGGCGACATGTCATGGAGCTCATGCACGGACGAGACTGGTGAGATGGGCTGCTGCGGAGGCGCCGTGGGGACTGTCGCGGGAGCTATCGTTGGTGTAAAGTGCGTTGGAATCACGGGAGCAGGTGGCAAATTACTGGCTGCGACCTCAATGCGACTGCGAAGGGTGGCGATGGTCGTGGACAGTTCGGTGCACTTTTCTTGAAGTAACTGGCGAGTTGACGCTTTGTCCGGCGGAATGTGAGGACAAGACTGAAAGAAACAGCGATGGGCGTGCTCGTACGCGTGCAGCGCAGCTGCCCAGTCTTGTTTTCCTTCAAGGGCCGCTGCCGTTTCGAGCGATTGAAAACCATCGTCGATGATGTGTTTGACGCCACTGGTTTGTCGAGTATGCGAAGACAACGCTGGTGCTGCGGGACATTGCGAATCTATTGCCATCAACGGTATTTCTGACGGTAATGGAATCGCGTGCGGTTCAGGGGGTGGCGATTGCGATGCCGTGGCGGGGTTGATGACGGTATTGAGCTCAACCAGGTGTATCAAGTGGGCTCGCTCAACTTCTGACCTCACGAAAAACGACACACTTGTCGTCGTCGCTGCAGTGAAGTACGTGGTAGCCTTGCGGATGGCCTCGGTAGTGCGTCCAGTGAATTCAATGCGGGCCTTTGTCGTCGTTGTGCCGTCTCCTGGCAAAGCCCGCGCGCTGGACACAACGAGCTCGATGTCGCGATATCGCAGAATCAGCCCCGCCTTTTTGGAACCAGGCAGGTCCAACGTAGATATATCAGCTGGAGTGAGCTCGAAAGGCTCTTCGACCCAGTGCTTGAACATGAACGAGGTGCCGCGGGTGTACGCGACGCCGCCGCCCATCGCAAGTGGGTGGTGACCCGATCCACGGAAGCAAAACGGAATTTATTGACGAGGAGCCAAACAACCCATTTTTTCATTGTTTTTAGCCAGAAAAAGTATCGAGTCAATCCGAGTTTCAATAAACAGAATTTTAGTACTACTAGTTTTTGATTAGTATGTCACTGCGGAGTGCAATCGACTTGCTCATCAAACCGCCGACTTCACCGACAAGACCTCGTCGTCAGCACAGCATGAAGACTATAAAGCAGTTCGAACTGGCAGCACTGAGCAGGTTGCGGTAAGGAGACTGCGTGTACTGCTGTTATGTTTACTCAGCGGGTGTGGAACGAGGGTGCCAAGAATCATGCACGCGGGAATGCAACTCACTGCCGTTGTACGTTAGGTCCGACGATGAAACCTTCAGAATTGTGAGCCAACTTCCTTCATGGGATGATGGAATCGAAACACTCTAAAATCTCGACTGCATCATGAAATTGTGGGCGCTTGTGGGTATTTTGATTCAGTCTTTGCTTGACAACGCCTCCCCAGCCTCCGTCGAGCAACTGACCTCCGAATCGACTTCCGTCGCATGCAACGGCTATGCTGGCTACTGCAATCGAAGTGTGAGCCAAGTCCTGTGGATGGGAGCCCACAACGCACTCACAGACGCTGGGTTTGCCCTGCAGCGCAATCAATTCGTGAGTGGCCCAGCCTTGCTCGACGCTGGCATTCGGTACTTGGACATCGACACTTGTGCGTATGTGAAGCAAGGCAAGCGTACCGCTCCAATGGTTTGCCACGGCAGCGAATGGTACCTCGCGCAAGTATACCAGTCCGCACTTGCCGGACTCGTGCCCATCATGGAGTGGCTAGTTCGACATCCTCGCGAAGTGATCATTCTTAACTTTGGCGACATCTCCGACTTCGAAGCAGTCAACTCGCACGGCGTCGCCACTAGCACGCTGACGTTACGGGAAGAACTTCGAGCTGTTGTGCGCCAAGTATTTGGATCGATGGCCATCTGGCGCGGCGAGCCGTTGGATGCCGCTGTAAACGCCAATAGAGCGACGTTGAGCGACCTCATCGCAGCAAATCGACGCGTCGTGGTGAACATTGGCATTAGTCGAAGCGACAACTCGAACGCATGGGGGCAGAGCGACCGAGTTTGTCGTGAAGCTTGGTACCCTGATCCCCTTGACTGGAACGACATGCACACCGACTACAATTGGGCTCCTGTCATGGACGCGGTGGAGGCCACGATGCGCAGTCCGTGCGCCACGGCCCCTCAGCTCCTCAACAAATTGGAGTTTCAGTTCCACAACTCGTTTGGTGGTTCAGTGGATGCTGCGTCGGTCGGCATCGTGCTCAATGAATACATGGCGTCATTGGAGCATCGAAATGGCCCAACGTCGCGGTCGCCATATTTCCCCTTCAACTTAATTCTCACGGACCACGCAGACAAGTGGCGATCGTATCATGCAGAGTGGCATCGACGTCAATTGTCTTTCCAACCCGGCAACTAGACATACAAAGATGTGCCATTCTGCTCTCTGCTGTTCACATAGTGTCACGACAATTCGAGTCTGTATGAGAGCAACCTAGAAGGGCAAATTCATGTGCCAATTCAGGATGTCGCAACTCTTCCGTGTGCAGTTCGTCCCGGGTGCCGGTACGCCGATACATACAGCTCAACAACGTCAAAATGTCGAGATTAATCTCGCAGGGCGACTCCTGTAGATCACCGGCACACTACATACACGGCCGGTGACCATAGGTTGTTGAGCGCGACGACTTTGCCTGCCTTTGCACAATTTGACTGTGTTCTAGCTGCCCATGCGACGTGGGGTCGTGTCGAAGCGCACGAATAGACGAAACTCTGGAATATATCAGATTTTATAGCCAATCATAGTTCTTTCCAAAATCGACCAATCAAATGGTTATAAGATTTGAAATCAGCCAATCCAATAATTTGAAAAATTCATTCCGCCAATGAGAAAAATCGAGTCCTGAATCTAGTCAACGTTGCAAGAACTACTACCGTAGAACCACATTACGCAGTCTTGCTGCTTCTCTCTCTTTGCAGAGTACACATTTGCAACGCCCAGCCGCAGTGGCTGCATCCCAGACAGACCCCCACGGCGTCGCATGCCAACATAACACTCTCCGTCATCCCCATCGTGGCATTCCGCGCGACGAACCGCTCGCAGGACACGGACTTGAAATTCACTTGTCGACCAGCAGCACTTGGATTGATAGAAGCCACGTTGGCTGCGTCGTGTGGCATCACAGCGGTTGCTCAAGTCTACTTTATGTCCCCTCATTTCCAGTTTGAGCGAGTGCTACTGCGCCTCAGCAGTTTTGGAAGAACTCGGACGACACCATTCGCGACACCAACTTGACATGGATGGCATATTCGTGGTGTTTCGATATGTCGAGCGATCTCCCGGCCAAATCTTGCTTTGTTGGAGGAACTTCATGGACGTGAACGGGTACTCGTGACTTGGTTCGGCGGACGGTGGGTGGACGGTGCAATTCGGGACGATTTTGACACCGAAAATCGTTGGTATCATTTCGTTCGTCCGTTCTTCGTCCACATCGTTGTTATTCCAGTGCACTTTTGAAACATTCAACTCGCACTGTTGTCTACCAAGCATGGTCGTGACCACCAATGCTCTCATTATCCCAAGTACCTTCGCGAATCACTGAGACAGATGCCAGACGTTTGCTCACGGTGAGTGGATGTCTCTCGACGCCCTGTTCAACCTTGACGACTGCTGACCATGGGGTGGGGGTGCGGCACCACCAAGTCTTATCAGGGAAACTACGGTCGCCATGGCCTTGGAGGGGTGTTCCTCTCAGCAGGGCTAGCGTCCAGAAGCAACGTTTGACTTCATTTCAACTTGTCGTGCTATTGTCGATTGTCCAGTTTGGTGTATCAAAGCTCTCCCAACTGGACCAATCGTGTGCAGCCATGAAGGATATAGGGCAATTTAATTGGTTGACTATTTGGTCGTTTTTCTGTACAGCCAATCAAACACGTGCATTCGAATCAAGGTGGGACGGTTTGATTGGCCATCGGGTTCTGGCCTGCAGTGGCCACATTGGGGCATTCCGTCACAAATCGCGATCTCGGCAACGCGCTACGGAGCGACACATGGGTGGATACATGGCCAAACTCATGCACATGATAGATTTGTTCTCGATGAAGAAACGCCGCATCCTCCTCCTTGGACTCGACTCCGCTGGCAAAACCACAATCCTGTACAACTTCAAATTCGGCGAGACCATGCATACGACGCCCACAGTCGGTTTCAACGTTGAAATGTTCCGCTACAAGAACGTCGAGTTTACCGCGTGGGACATTGGCGGCCAAGAAAAGCTGCGCGGGGTATGGCATCATTATTACCAAAACACAGACGCCGTGATCTTTGTCGTCGATTCGAACGACATCCAACGAGTTGGACAAGCAGCCGACGAACTCCATCGCATGTTCCAAGAAACGGAGCTCGAAAACGCCAAGCTGCTTGTCTACGCCAACAAGCAAGACCTCCCAAACGCTTTGTCCATCTCCGAACTCTCAGACAAGTTGCAACTGGATGCAGTCACGCCAAATGCACACTGCATGCAGCCCTGCGTAGCCGTCACTGCGGCCGGGTTGTACGAGGGCCTCGAGTGGCTCAGCAAAGCGCTCTTGTATAGTTCCAGCGCTTTTGGTCACCTCGCCGTCATACGCAGTTTTGGGCGATCTCAACACTATTTTAAGTTTACGCTATTTACTTGTTGTGGAAACCTTGAAATGGTGTGAGCCGCGTTTCGATTGGTTCACGCAAGAGCCATTCATTTGGACGTTTTTGCAATTTGAAGGCGCGGCAATCTCATATTGATTCAAGAGGCTGATGACTGCTCCTCAAGCGGCCCAGAAACTCAGCAGCGGATGTACGCGCGCCCAACGCTGCATCGGCATCAAGACGTCCTCGGACGGAAAGCTGGTATTTGAAGCCCAAGGTGACTGTGTCGTTGTTCGCAGCACAAAGACGGGCGAAGTGGTGCACCATCTCCGAGCTGCCACCACATCGGCTGACCCCAACACGAATGCACAGGCCGAGAAACTGCGTCTGCGGTACCGCAACCAGTACATCCGCGCACACTTTGAAACCCAGTACAAGAACCCCCACCCTGACGATGACGCGGCCACCGTTGCGGCGCACAAAGGACTGTGGATCCAGCGTCAGGTCGACAAGTTCGTCATCCCTGCAGACTACCTGTCCCACGTGACAGCGTTTGCGTTGCACCCGACAAAGTCTGGACAGCTCTATGTTGCCACAGCCGACCATGTGCTTCGCGTGTGGGATATCGCGCAGGCGACGCCACTTGAGTCGTATACTGTGGAAGCGCCTGTGGTGTGGATGCAGGCCAGTTCTGTTGATCCGTCGTTGTTGCTGCTGGTGTTCAACGATACCGCGCGCCTTGATCGCATGCATGCCGTGGTCCTAAGCAAGGAATCGAGGGAGGCGAAGCGAAAAGATGCAGGGACAGTCTCTCCGGCGGAAGAGTTGTCGGCAGAGGAGAAGAAGGCTGCTCTGCGAAAGAAGAAGAAGGACGAACATCGTCCTAAGTGGACGCTCAACTTGCACGGTCTCGAAACAACCCACTGGCGCTTGGTCACGTACAACCTGTCGAAAGGCGCGATCGAAACCGAGCTCATCCAGCGCAAGTTTATGCCGTTTTACGGCGCCCACATGCAGCAGCGGTCGATTCACTCTGACTACATTGCGGCCGTCGCTATCATCGCATCGTCCCACGTCTTCTACCTTCGACTGGGCGTCAAGAACACAGGCGACACCACCCCCCGCGCGTTTGTCTTGAGCCGCTTGGAACATGTTCGTCAATTGTCATGTGTTACTGTGCATCCGACGTCGGATGAGGTACGTCGATGGCTCGACGCTGAAGTTATCCTCCTCGTGGCTAACTGCACACAACTGGCAGGTTGTGACGGGCGACTCGATGGGTCAAATGCAAGTGTGGCGGCACCTCGACACAGCGGGCAAAGGCCTCCAGCCAGCCAAGCTCCATTGGCACGCGCATCGAGTCGGCTGCGTCGCATACTCTCGCGATGGGAGCTATGTTGCGTCGGGAGGGGAAGAATTTGTGCTCGTATTGTGGCATCTTGAAAGCGGTCGGCGCCAGTACATGCCGCGTCTGTCGGCGGCGCTTAGCAGCATCGCTACCAAAACGGACGGGTCGGGGTACTTGGTTGCTTGCCACGACAACTCGATCTTGTCGTTCAATCCGGTGACCAACATACACGAGTGGCAAAAGGGCGGGCTGGGCCGAGTCGGTCTCTCTGCGTCCAAGACTCTTGTTGGTCGGCGGCTTGTAGTTGAGCCGTGGGCGAACACGCTGGCGGTACAGGCGAAAAGTTTAGTGGGGCATGTTCAGTTCTACAACCCACTCAAGGATCGCGTCGTGAGCACGCTCGCGCTGACCCAGCGCAACCAAGTGTCTCGGGTATATCATCAAATCCTCTTGGCCTTTCAGATGCGGCGGCATCTCGATTTGGCTCGATTTTTGACAAATGTTGACTGTGCCCCTCTCTAGACGGACGATGAAGCACCAATACGAACGTACGCGACGCAGATCTGCTTTGCCCCACTAGCTCGCACCATGGCCACCGTCACGACGACGCTGGACGAGTGCGTGCTTCGCTTCTGGTCGCGCAAAAGCGACGGGTCGTTTGCAATGCACACGGATGTCGATATGCCGCACGGAGACCACGTGATTACGGCGATGGCCAGCCATGGCGGCATCGTCGTCACGGCGGACAACCACGGCGAGTTCCGAGTGTGGCACGACCCGACATCAAACGGATGGACGTGTCGATCGCTGGCACAGTTCCGCCAGGTCGGGATTGGCGCGGTCGAGTTCTCTCCTGATGGATCTCTTCTCGCCGTCGCGTATGGCTCGCTCCTGACATTGTGGGACCCCGCCACGAATGTGCTCCAAAGTGTTTTGTCGTACCCGAACGCCGCCATCAAGGATATCCTTTTTGCAGCCAACTCGCCCCACGTCGCGGTCCGAACCGTGTCTGGCGTGTACGTGTGGTCGCTGCTCACTTGCACGATCACTTGGTTTTACAACCTCCCCGTGACGTGCATTGCATTGTCGCCCGAGTCGGACCAACTTGTTCTGGCCGTCGTGACCAAGTCCAAGACGCTGGACGTGACGACGCACGTGATTGCGTTCGACATTGCGTCGCCTCTGCCCACGGCTCTCCACCATCTACGCCAAGTGGATGCTGCCGCCATTGTGTTTTACAAGAAGAACCTCATCGTGATGGACACGGTGAGCCACGTGTACTTGGTCGGCGATGAGCACGCCGTCGTGGCCCACGAACCCACTGTTGCCCCCGCCCAGGTCTCGTCGCTCCAACGAATGTATGGCTTGAACCTGGGCAAAGACGACAAGACGGACGAAGACATAGCGAATGGAGAAGCTGCCGTCAGGTCGCAAGACAAGGGACTGTTTGACGCGCCTGCACATGTGCTGCCACCCCTGCGGTCCCTGTACCGTTCGTTCCTGGACACGATCCTCCTCGCCAAGCATGAAGCAGCGCAATCGATTAGCGCCACCCCAGGTAGCCACAATGCAACACGGACACTGAACGACAGTGCCGCCATCCCACCTGCCAAGAAACACAAGCCAGTGGTCGTCTTGCCGGAAGAAAAGCCGGAGGACACATATGCCGCGCTTAAGAAGTTGTTTACCAAGAAGTAGATGGATGAAAGTAATATATAGATATGACGACTCGTGCTTCTCACGATGCACCGCTCAAGGTTGTTCCACACCAAATACCTCGCATGCTGCCGGTACAAGTGGCCAATGCTGAGGCTTCCAAGGCGAATTCGTGGTAATACGGTCGCCATTTCCGCCATGCTCACCTGTCTCCCCCGGGCAAGCTGCACATACGCCCGCAGCGGCAACATCGTCGTAAAATGTTCGTGACTTCCCTGGAAGCACGGAGACGACATGCATAGATCCCGATTTTGGTTGGATGATAAATTTTGTTTTTAATCCAATCAAAATCCGGCAATTCCGTTGCAACGGCCGTGTTCCGTCCCGTCGCCCTCCCCCTTCGCCTGGGCGGTTCTCTTTTCAGACTGTTTAGAAGAGATGGCGGCGAAGCGATACAAGGTGGTGCTTCTCGGCGAAGGTGTGTGCTATAGACCACTCAACTCGATGGCCATGGAAGAGTGAGGTAGAGCAGTGTGAATGACGATGGACTTCCCGTAGGGCGTGTGGGCAAGACGTCAATTCTCGTGCGATACATCAAGAACGAATACGACGACCGTCAAGTGTCGACATTGCAAGCATCGTACTTGGACAAGAAATTGTCGGTCGACAATACTAATGTGCAGCTCTCCATTTGGGATACCGCCGGCCAAGAACGCTTCCATGCGTTGGGGCCGATATACTACCGCGATGCTGGTATGGATGATAGAGATGTTGTGGGCAAATGCGATGGCACTCACTCACGTGTCATTAGATGGTGCGCTGCTTGTGTACGACATCACGGACGAGGAATCCTTCGTAAAGGTCAAGACGTGGGTGAAAGAACTCCGACGCATTGTCGGTGACGATATTGACATTGCGATTGCCGGGAACAAGATCGATTTACATCGCAACCGCAAGGTCTTGGAAGCCGACGCTGTCAAGTACGCGCAGTCTGTCAACGCGACCCATTTCCACACATCGGCCAAGTTGAACAAGGGTTTGGACGACGTCTTCATCGACTTGTCGAAGCGCATGCTCGCGCGGGGGGGGTCTCGGTCAAAGAAAAACAAACAGAGCGCTCTCATCGCTGACGACGAACCCGTGGCGGCGCCCCAGTCTTCGTATGGCCCAGGCAGCACAGATTCCAGCGGCCGGGCGCGCGACGGTGGCCGCAACACGATTCAAATCGTGGACGACGGCCGCGGCAACACTGGGCGTGGGGCGGCTGCAGCGGGAGGTGCTGCCGCCTCGGGAGGCGGTAGTGGCAAGAAGGGAGGCAGCTGCTGTTAATATTTACTTCGTTGGTATTGAATACAAGATAGTGGCGTTGCTGGCTGGTGAAGTTATAATGATGGTGTTGTGAAATCGCCATGCTGAAGGAATACTTGGAATTGCACACGATAGGCCACCGATCGCATCTCGCGTGGTGGCGCTAAGAGTGACTCAACGCCCTTGTTGCATGCTAGTCCACGAGGTAATCCCCATGCCCCACCATTGTGAGCGCTGCTTACGCCCGCCGCCCGACGCGCATTTTGGATTGTTCGCCCGCTTTGATTATTCTACCACGACCCCCGGATAACGTATCCGTACTCTCAACTTGAACGTTTTGAGTTCATTGTCCATTGCGCTTCAACACGCAAAGATGGTCTGGGTTGACGCCGTCGGTCGAGTGGCGGCAGCAACAGCGGTCACTGGATGCGTTATCCTGGGATGCGTGCAGTCCCGAATTTGGAATGGCATCGACGCCCCCGTGCTGGTCAAGTGGGTTGCGCATCGATTCCTTGCAAACCCCTGTGTCGAAGGAGACAGCAAGCGTCCTGACACTCCCTCCAATGCATACTTTGCGGTGGGGCGTTGGTGTGTGTCCATCTATATGCTTCTCGGTGCCGCACTTGTAGCAACTCCTCTGCGATCCCCTTCCCCAGTCATCGACTATGCCGTTCCCGCGCTGTTGGCAATTGCTGGTGTCGGAAACGTCGTGGCGTATCACGTGAGTGAGAAAAAGGGACCTCGAGTGCGCGCTTTGGGTTTCCGCCAGATCGAGATGCCTTCGGTGACCGTCCTATCTCTCGTCTTGTCTGCTCATGGATTCTTACTCCTGTTGCGCGATGACGTCACTTCAAGACAAGGCTGGACGTTTGCAGCTACTCCATTGCTATCCATTCTCAGCACCGCAGCGATACGCTACATGCCCCATGGACCGTTACTTGGGATCGCCATTGCTCTGGCAGGGCACACATGCTAAGCGCACCAATAAACCTACTCATTGTCTTCGGCTGATGTAGTGGCCGCCGCCGCTGCTTCGAAGTACTTGGGCTACCACACGATTTTCATGACTTTGGCATGCTCTTGTCGAAACGAGATGCGTACCACCCAATGGCCAACTTGTTCGAGACACCTGTCCAAGACAACATCTCCCGATGGTTCGTGCGGCCTGGCCACGCGGTCAGCCGTCGGGCGCACAGGCGGCGCAAAGAAGGACGTGGCCGCCATCATAGGGTCTACCATATTCATCGCGGTGGCATCCACAACATTCGCCGACAGGCCAACCTTCTTGACCTGCCTTGCCGTGTCACCGAGTACACGCAACATATACTGAGGATCCAAATCCACGACACGTTACCTGCTGGCGATAAATCTTCTCCTCCATCGTATCGTGGCTTACAAAGCGATACACGTGAACGTCCTTCACTTGGCCAATGCGATGGGATCTGCACATGCTCTACAAATGGCCGATTCAGTTCCATTGCGGCTTGCTTTATCTCCAACTCAGTAAAGGATGTGCACCGTTCGACGTACTTGATGGTCGTGAGATGGATTCCAACTCACGTCGAACAACACCAGTCGATTTGCGGCGTGCAAGTTGATGCCCTCCGCTCCAGCGCGCGTCGACACGAGCAGCACGTCGACGCCACTCTTGTGATCGCTGAACGTCTACAGGTGGCACCACTGTCACTTGGTAGTCTGCACAAGGGAGGGCTACATTGATGTGCTCCATGCGCTTGGACGAAGAGAGGCTGCCGTCAATCACGAGGTACTTGCGCGATTTCTTCGCCGCGTGATTCTTTGCACTCGAGACCTTCTTTGCCGTCTGGCCGCGTTGGGGCTTGGCTGACTTGGTCGACGCTGGCGGACTCGTCGTGCCTTCTTCAAGATCGAGAAACATTCCAACGCATTCAAGCGTTGACACACTCTGGGAAAACACCACGACTTTGTCCCCGGCAGTCTGGCTAAGCTCAGCACTGTCAGCAACGACACGCTTCGTGGGGCTGCTACAAAAGTTTCACCCACCTTTCTCGGATCAATTGCAACAACACCACCATTTTCCCACTGTGCCCAGCTTCGCCTGTCACGTAGTCAGTCAGCAAGCTCGGCTCGGCCCATGCCATGGCGGCCCGTGCATCAGGATCCGCCGTTCGCTTTCGCTTTTTTGGCCTAGTTTGCTTGGTCGTCGAAAGCACTGGCTGCCAGTCATCCACGACAGGCACGCCGTCTGCTCCTCCTCCATCGTCATTGTCTTGGTCGTCAGGCCCCTCGCAGAGCATCATGCGCCGGTGGACGACGTCGGGGTGGTTGACAATCTGTAGCAGCGTGGCGTACGTTGTAAAGAGGTCCCACTGCTTTTTCTCCAGGCGGTCGCGGTCGAGAAAATCGAGGTACATGGTGTGTTGCAACGGCGACAGTTGACAGTGCACGATCCATTCTTTCTTGGTGGGGAGATGTGCGTTCAAGAGGTCGCGGCCGCGGCGGAGCACCACCGGCGCCAACAGTGTCGTCAGTTGCGACGATTTCTCGACGTTGCCCTCCACGATCGGGCGCTCATATGTCTGTCGGAATTCGTCGTACGACCCGAGAAAATCTGGGCGGCAAAAATTGACCATGCACCAATACTCGGCCAGTGAGTTCTATTGGACTGACGTGAGATGGAAATGGGCGGAATTGGTGCTGTCGACCTGGAGGGGGTAGCCCGTGAGGACAATGCGTTTGTGAGTGGTCACCTTTTCCAACGTGGCGCACAGAATTGATGAAGGATCCTTGATCCGATGACCTTCATCCAAAGCAACCTACAATACGGTGGAGCGGTCAATTGTACGCGAAAACGTGGGAGGGAGTGTACCAGGTCAGGCCCAGGCGAGCAGAGCAAGGACGAGAGTTGCCGCAGTTGGCGGTCAATCACTCGCTGCTTCTTCTCCGTCACTTCCAACACCCCCATGCTGACATGGGATACGACATCGATCACGGGCTCGTTGACGACACGGGAAGGATTAAGGAGCAGGCGAAACATTTCGTAGCCCATGATCATGACGCCTCCCTTGGATTTCCACTCTTCCAGTGCCTCAATACGCGATGACGTATTGGACTTGTACTGGAATACTCGCACGTGAGCTGACGACTGGTGTGAGCATGGACGTCGTACACTGTTGGTCGTGTCCATTTGGTAGATTGGGCACCACTGCAGGGACGACGGCTCGAGCCACTTTTGAAACTCCTGCACCCAATTCAGAATACACACCGTTGGGCACAGCACCAATGCTGTCGATCGAGACCCGCTGCAGAATGCAGTGAGTTGGATGCTTGATCCTGGCGGGTGGACATACCGAGAAAGGCCGTCGATAAGGAAGCTATGAATCGATGAGATAAGCTGAATCGTCTTTCCTAGACCCATATAGTCTGCAAGGATGCAGCCTTGGTCCATCGATACATGCTGCAACAAGAACTTGACCCCGTCGCGTTGATGCGGCTTGAGAACATCGTCTAGCTCTGACGCGACCCACAGATCCTTCACTGTGTCTCCGTCGCTACCCGTGAGCTCCACGCGTCCATATGCATCGGTGGGCACAACCTTTTTGACTGGTTTCGAAGGTACAACCAACGGTTCCTCTGCTTCGAGTGTGTCCCCCTCGCATAGACACGGCAACATGAGACAAAAGTCACAGGCAGCGGTGGTCGTTCGGAGCATCATTCGAAGGTCATCGAGCTTCTTTGCTTGCTGAACTTGAGCTTCTGTCACACAGAGGCATGGAATGACCCCGCAGCAACAATCATCGTCTGTCATTCCGCGCCGTCGTTGTGAAAGGTTAGTGGTTCAACGTTCAAGAGCGAAAGCGGCGCATGCATTCCACCAATTGGAATGCCAATCTCGCTCCTGATTGGCTACAAAACAATTGTGTAAATTGATTGGACAAAACAGCATCTTTTTCATTCAACCAATGTCGGCACTTGAAGGCACTTCGACACTTTATGCAGACACTGAAAGGCTTCACTTGAGACCGCGGCATGCACAAGCGCACTAACGCGCGTAAAATGCACGGCTTGCTCAGCTTTGCGGCATCTGATCGCTCGCACAGTTGTGTTCTAGAGTCCAATAATCCGTTTATTCCTGCGATATATTGCTAGCCAATCCACAACGAGAAAGTCGGAATTTTAACCAATTAAAGAGGACTATCCACTCTCGCTCACTCTACATGCCCTAGGCCAAGGGTCAATTGCCATGAGCTTTCGACCGAGCGGGGCAAACTCATGCGCAGAAAATGTTTCGTCGACGGCTTTGTCTGTGGTGCCCTTTTGCCAATGGTCAGCAGGAAGTAGGCGGGCCTTGTATCGGCGCAGTTGCTCAAGAGCGTAAGCTTGATTCATGGGCACATTGGGAAGGAAGCCTGTATAAACCACTTCTCGTGGAATGGTTCCGACATGGCGGTAGCTGTTGGCATGGGGGATGCGCCAGTCAAAGAGGATGACACTGCCCGCGTCGGCAGGCACGTGTTCGTACCGCGCGATGACGGCATTGTCTTCTTGCATGCGCAAAGGTGAGAAATCCCCAAGGCAAACGGGCGGCCGAGACGACTCAACCAGCGGGGGCGCCTTGCTGAAATACGACGAAAACTCCTTGTGAAACCCAGCGACAGCTTCAAATCCACCTGTCGATGGGTCCAGGTTGGGCGTGAGGACAGTGATGCATTGAATTGGACGCCATCGCGGAAACGCTTTGCCGCTTTCGTACAGGTTGGTTGGACAGCAGTCAATATGGGGAGTCAGCGACCGTTGCAGTGCCTTCTTCTTCTTCTTCGAGGCACCTTCTTCATCCCGTGGTAGTGTCGCGATCGCATCAGGAACTCGGTAGCAAACCCGATTGATGTACATGAACCCTTGTTTCCCTGGAAACTGACCGAACGGATGGTAGAACAAGTCAGTAGGGTCCGTTGCGTTTGCGTACGTTGCATCCCAGAGGTCCGATATGACGTCGAAAACTCGTTCGTTCTCGGCGACAGCAAGGCGCCATGACGGGTAAAACAAATCCAGGATCCCTCCTGCACCACCCGTGCTCGAGAGGTTTCGCAAATTGTGTGCGGTGTCGGCAAGGTTGTCATGGTCCTACCATCTCAACTACATAAAGCCTCGTTGCAGCAACATCGTCCCTACCACTCCATAGAACTTCAAGTCTGCATGCAAACCCTTCCGTGCTGCTTGGATCTCGTTCTCACTGAGCACGTTTGGCACCACAAGAACGCCATTCCGGCGGAACTCTTCAACTTGCGCCTCTGTTAGCATTGCGTGCTAGGCGCGCAGTTCGAGGAGTGCATATTTATGCCGTGGTGCAATTGGTCCAAAAAAGCCTCTTTAAGCGTATTCCTCTAAAATACGTATAATTACCAAAACAAATAAGGACTAGTACCTGTGATATATGTATAATGGATGACATCTCACCTTATCATGGATACCCAACTTGACACATTTCAACTTTTTCCATGGCGCGTCCGCTGCGGGCTGCGGCCAACGCTGGCAAGCCTTCTTCGACCTCGAGCTGGCGCTTCCTAGTGCTCGGAGTCTTTCTCGTGGTAGCGGCTATTGGGGGAAACCGGTGGCTGACACTTCCTGCATTCGAGCCCGTTCGAGTGCTTGAAGAATCCACGGACAAGTCCAAGACTGTAATCGTGTACGACAATGGTCAATCTTCAGGTGGCGTGAATGTCAGCCTGTTTCCATCGCACGTGGCGTCTGGATCCGCCTTGGCTGCTTATCTGTCAGACTTCATTGATGTTGATGGAATCCACCTGGCAAATTTGCCATCAACGAAAGTCGTAGCAGATCGCGTGTACACAGGGAGCGGGTTGGTCGTGAGGACGTTCCATGACTTTGCTCATGGCGACCGGCTGTATCTGGTCGCGCCTGGCCTCTTGTTCGTGTGGCCATTCGTCCAGGTAACTTGTTCCAACGAGTCCCATTCCCACGCGTTGTCGTGGCTCGTAGCTGGGCCATCGCGTCCTCGTGACTGCAAAACTAAGCCCGACCGAGAAACCCATCGTGCTCGAGTCATTCAGCGAGAGTCCACGCGTGTTCCATGTGCACAACTTCTTCACGAACGACGAAGCGGATGCGCTCATCCATCGCATCCAAACCATCGACAACGACTCGAGCAAACTGCAGCAGTCGCACGTCGGACACATCAGCGGCGCCAAGAAAGTATCGCCACACCGCACGAGCGAGAACGCGTTCGACCAAGTGAGCGACACTGCCGTGTCCATTCGAAAGCGGTCCTTCGATCTTCTTCGCATCGACCCGTACCAGGACGACATGGCGGACGGCCTGCAACTCCTCCGGTATGCACAGAAGCAGGCATACATTGCGCACACCGACTACTTCAACGCCCGCACGAGCTCCGACTGGAACTGGAACCCCAAAGCGGGAGGGTCGAATCGGTTCGCCACCGTTTTTTTATACCTGTCCAACGTCACAGCGGGTGGCCAAACTGTGTTTCCCTTGAGCGAGATGCCTCCGGGCCACGAACACCCACCCATGTCGGACGCGGTCACGAGCCTTACTGCGTCCTTGTTTGACGACAACAGTTGGGAAAAGGACATGGTGACCAAGTGCTCCACCAAGTACGTTGACGAGTGCCTTGTGCCGTCGACGAAGGCTAGCCAGGCCATCTCTCCCGTAGGCTGGCGTCGTACCCCCAAAAGACCCACGCTGTGCTGTTTTACAGTCAAAAACCGAATGGTAACGAACGGCATGCCTCCAATGTTGTTGGCACCGTTGCAACCCATCGAATGGCGCCTTGTTGACGAGATGGTCAACGTAGGCGAGCTCGACCCCATGTCCCTGCACGGTGGGTGTCCCGTCCTTGAAGGCACCAAGTGGTACGATCTAGATCCTTCCCTCTGGAGTACATTTCCCGTGGTACTTTACAGCTTTGACCACAGGGCGGCCAACTTGTGGGTGTGGAACAAGAGGCGGTACGGGCTCGATCAAACGCGCAAAGACAAACTGAACGTGCGTTTTACTAACCCCACGGACGTCGACGTCGACCTCTTCTGGAAAGACACTAAAATGGCGACGCTCCCTGCGGGCCATAGCGTTCCATACAGCTCTTACCACGGTCATGTTTGGGTACGTTCGATTGAATTCGAGGCAGGGCGATCGCACGAGCTTCATTTCCTCACGAGGTTCATGCTAGACTTTTCGTGAAGCGGGCGCCGACCACGTTTTGCTCACGCACACGTTGTCCGCCGACGATGGCCTCGACCAAACTGTGAGTTTGAAGGCACGGGTAGCTCCCCACGTTGATGACCCGCCCGTGTCATCGACATTATCTGCACCGTCTCTTCCACAGCCCGATGAATTGTAAACGAGACGAATCGGATGCATCAACCCATGCCTAGTAAATTGAATGGTTAAGAGTCTTGGACCTTTCGCTTCTTGAACACTTTGCCAAGCATGGACGCCGCGGCCGAGTCGTCGAGCGACCCGTGGGCAGTTTTGTCGACGGCTTCATTCTGTCGGAACGTGCGTCGAATGTTTTCTGGAACGTCCGCCGTCTCTGGATGCAGGGCGTGCTTGCGCTCGACCATCTTTTCAAGCTTCTTCGCTTGGTCCACCCGCTCCAAGAACGCGGCATTCTCCTTGGCGGCTTGCGCCACTTCCAACCGCAGCTTCTGGTCGCGGACTCGGTTTTCGTACGCCACTTTTTCCGTCAAGTGGGTCCACTGAAACCCTTTGAGGTACTTGAGGTTCCAAATGTCATCGTGGTATTTGCTGCGCTTCTTCCCGCCAATGAGGGTCGTGTTGAGCGCCTTGGCCACGCTCTTGGCGTCCTTCTTCCGCTTGAATTCAATCCAACCTTCGGTAAAGTTGACCTGTCGATTCCCACCGTTCTTCAGGCGTCGTTTTCTCGCTGTTTTGTCTTCTTCCACCAAGTAGATGCGTCCGATTGGGCCGTACTCGCTAAGGAGGCGGCGGACATGGTCTGGTTTCATGAATGGCGGGACGCGGCTCATGTACACCACACCTTTCTTTTCACTTTCGTCCTTCTTTTTGCGTTTCTTGGGCACAAGGAGGTCGGGAAGTTCATCGTTGCCGTTGCCCTCCCTGTCGTCGGTCTTTCCGTCATCGCCTCCTTGATCGTCGTTCTCTGCTTCATCGACCCCACCTCCATTGTCTGCAACGCCTTCCTCAGCACTTTCTTCTTGATCTTCATGGTCCTGTTCAACCACATTCTCTGCTACCTCTTCCACGGGAGTCTTGGCTTTGTCGTCCACCTTGCGCGCCATGTTCGTCTCCGCTCCAACTAACTGCAAGCACCAACCAGGTGGCGTCGAAATATCCGGATAACAAATTATCCGGACTTCGACCTCAATGTTGCCCAAACAACAGAACACCTGGGAGGATGCCACAACAGCCGAGACAAGGTCAAGGTAGGCCGTGGAAGGGGTGGCTCGTACTTCTTGCGCTGGTTCTGGTCGCAACCAACGCATATGCCGCAACCAACACGGCTCCTCCAGTTAGCACGTTGCCGTCGCGAAAACCTCATACGACTGTAGTCACCACCACAGTGCCTCCAGCAACAAAAACCCAGCAGGTGACAACGACATCATCGCCCACGACGACGACAAGCACTACTCTATCTACCCTTCCACTGACAAGACCTCCAACACCCACACCTAGTACTTCGTTGCTAGGCCCTCTTGCTTTGGGCAATCTCGCGTTCTCGACAGTGAGTTCTACGCACGTTGGCCTGGGTAAATTGGAAGAGCAGCTCCATCTCATGGAAGAGCTGGAGCTATCTGTGGTAGCCGGCATCAACAACATGGACTCACTTTTGTCGAGTGGAAATAAACCTGGATCGCAGCTGAACACGCGGCTCAGGAGCAACTTGATGGAAGTGCGCCAGAACCTGCACAAACTGGCAGCGAATTTGAACATGACGCTTAATCATTTGGACTCTGTCGAGAAAGACACGGAGGTGAAGGAAAAACAGTTGGAGGAAGTGTTGAAGAAACAAGCAGTCGAGGAGAACGCGCACCAGTTGGAAGCCCGCGGCGCCGACGCCGTGGATTACGAGTCGGGTCGGCTCAAGAACACGTCGGATATGGTCAACTTGTCCGACGACCAGCGAAAGCACTTTGAAAAGGTCAAAAATGAAGCCGATCCCGCGGTGGGTGGATCCTCTCCATGGTCTCGCATTCTCATGCGATATCCTTCTAGGTACTGCACTACGACTTTGGACTGCTAGGGCAAATAGCGCTGCTCTTTGGGGTGTCTGCTGTTGGAGGCATCTTGACCACGTCCATCCATTTACCCCCCACGGTGGGCTACTTAGTCGGCGGCGCTGTTGTCGGACCGTCTGGTCTCGGCCTTGTCAACCATTTCAAGGAAGTTGAAACGATTTCTCTATTCGGCACGATCTTTTTGCTCTTTGGTATGACTCTGTGCTCAATGCAATGCCATGGGTGATTGCGGTCTTTGTCACGTAGCGCATGGTGCCGAATACTCTGTTCATCGATCGACCGACGAAGTATTCAAGCTGTACTTGCTCAGTGGCATGTTGTACGTGGCTTGCACGATCGTGTCTGTGTCGTTTCTAGCCGTCACGCTGGGTTGGGTACGTCGCCAGTGCGTTGTCCTTGTCACCGATCGATTGTTCGACGCAGACGACCTCCCTGGCGGAAGGCATCATTGTCGGCGCCGGCGTGTGTTTCACTTCGACGGCGCCGTTGTCGGAGTACATTCGGACGTACAACTTGCGTCAATCCTCCTTTGGCAAGGTATCCGTTGGATGGAATTCGTCTCCAGCTTACGATGGTTGTGGTTGGTCTGTAGCTCGTGTCGGCGATCATCGCGGTGCAGGATGTTCTCATGAGCTTTGTGTTGGCGACGCCCGAATGGTTTGCCGCGAAATCAGGGTGGATTTCCATCACAGTGTGCAAGACCTTTGTCGTGTATTCTGGCGTTGTGCTTTTTACGATCGGCATGCATCGGTAAGGGTACCTCATTTGCGTGGCGCAAAAGTGACGGACGAATTGGTAGACATGTTGTGCCTACATTACTCGAGTTTCTCGTGGCGATGGAGAAATTGCACCACTCCCCTCTCGTTTTGCTCGGGATCGTGTCAGTCTGCTTGTTTATGTCGCTTTTCACTGAGGTACTTGGTAGTGACGCTGTCCATGTATACCGATGTCGTGCTGTTTCGTGGGCTAGTCGGTTGGGCTCTCGCTGGAGAGCGGGGCATTTTTTGCAGGCCTGGCCTTCCAAGGCTCGAGCAATTTAAAAGCCACGTTGTCGTCGATCCGCGTGTTGGACAACTTGTTCGGCAGCATGTTCTTTGCCTGCATTGGGATGATTCTCAACCCGGTAAGGACTCGTTCTCTGATCATCGAAGATGCTCATGGACGTGCAGGCGTTTTTGCTTCGGAACTGCGGGGCCGTGTGTGCCATGATGTTGTGCGTGTGCGTCATCAAGATTATGTTGGTATCGTCCATCATGTCCTTCTTTCGCATTCCGATTCAAAAGTCGATCAAGGCCGCGATGAGTTTGTGCCAGGTTGGGGAAGTCGCGCTTATTTTCATGATCAAAGCGCAGTCGACGCAGCTCGTATCGCGATCGCTGTACTTACAGTTCCTCGCCGCCACGTCCGTCTTCCTTGGGCTCTCCCCTTTCCTCCATCGGAACCTGAACGAGCAAAACACGTTCCATTTTGCTTCCGTTGTCAAGAAAAAATTCGAGTTCGAGAGTGAGGACGATGGCATGAATCCCATTGGAAACTCAGCCTCCCACGCGCTACCATCACACAAACGGCATAATGTAGAGCATTGAACACGCACGTTGGAGTACGCCCCTTTGTTTTGTGTTCTCATTCAGCATCGCTTCCGTCGCCATGACCTGCTCCAAAGAGAAGTACATTGCAATGGAATCACTCAGCTTGCGGGTTTGAATCAACCAATCAGATGACAGATGACCTTTCGTGAACCAATCAAAACAGAACAACATTTTAGGTGAAACCGCCACACCACTCGAAATGACATGACGTACAAGAATGCGTCGACGGCGGACCCCGACGACGAGGGAAACGAGCCGTGGCGTGTGACGTTACTGAGGGCGTTGATACGTGGGGATCATGACAGTAAATAGGCTCGGCTACCTATCGGCTTGACGGTGCTCATAGTTATGGTGCGTGATATCACGAGCAATGTGGCCGCTATCGCCCAAAAGTTGACGACGCACATGAGTCGAGGAAAGCTTGAGTGGGAGACAGTCGACTGGTGAGATGATCCATGCGCTGCTTCAAGGATGCTAGTGACTGACCACCTTGTGGTTTGTAGGTGGCAGCTCCAGGACGCAACCCCACTATTCGTGGCGGCATTATTTGGACATCCCAAGCTCGTTCGATGGCTCCTTAAACATGGTGCCGAAAGGTATCGACATTATTTCAACGATCAGTCTTCAACTCTGCAATAGATCGACAACTTGCTACTTGGGTCAAACCGCGTTGGATTTGTGTGGTGAACATGCCACTGATTCCGCGGCGGTAGACGAATGCAGGCGCTTGTTGAAGGAGCCACCAAAAGGTCTGGTCATATGGCATAAAGTACCCTATTTTATGGTTGTGCAGTGCCAGACCCACCAGGAAAGCCCACCTTTCAATGCCACATCACCACTGAGCATGTGCTTCGTCACATTCAAGTTGCGGAAGAGTCTGACAAAGGTGTCCTACGGCTCGTGGAGAAGCGTGTGCCACACATCGTGCGCAAGTGCGTTGCCAGTTTGCGTTGGACAACACCGCTGAGCAATGGGAAGATGATTGAAAAGTACGAAGCGCGGTATCGCGCCCACGTCCCCGGGGACAAATCTATGGTACATAGTCGTGACGCAAGTGAGGTCACGTGGATGTTGAATCGTTCACAATGACATGCATGAGATGATAGGTACGCGGTTGGCGAAGCCAAACGACGGCCCATTCTAGGCTACTTGACACCCAAGGGTGCACCGTGGATGGCTTGCAGCTTGGCACCACATATGAAGTGCAGCTACGAGCTCAAAACGCAGTCGGGCGCGGTGATTGGAGTGTAATGGAGATGCTTCACACGCCAACTGTTGAAGGTGAGGGCGAGGTGGTAGCAGAAGGAACCAACCAAGTTGGCGAGACAAACAGTGACAGCGAAAATGCTGTAAAAGAGGAAATGTAGTCGTAATATTGACGAGTGACCCTACCCTGCCTTGTACACCAGGATGGCCTTTTCGTTGTAGTAGAAGTAGACAAAATGCCGTGTCACATGTGTCACGTACGAACCAAAGTTGCGACCGATGCACACGACCCAATGCGGGTCCCATCTCTTGTCCAAGTGGTCTCGAATATCTTCGCACACCTGAAGTCCCTTCTTTTCCCACTCCTCCGTGTCATATTGGCTGAGTCGCTTGGTCACTGTCTTGATCACATCTTCGAGAACGTCGTCTTCCATATCGCACGGCATCTTCACTCGTGCGCCCCACATGTGCTGCCAACTTGGTGCCTCGCCCATGCTTGCCGTGATGTCCGTCGAAGAATGGCGTAATGTTCGTGAAAGAGAAAGATCGCGACGAAAGGTCACTCGATTGGCTCCCACCCAGGGCACAGTCATTATAAAAGATAAATATTTCTGGAACAAACGTATTCCATTATTATTAGTTTTGGAAACTATTATTATATGGAATACATATGTGCCAGTAAAATAGAATGAATCGGCAGTACGTGTTATATATGGATGGGTTGGGCCATCAAATAGTGATACCTTTGACAATTATATTAACATCGATCCACTTTCAGAGGTATTGTCTGCTGCCAAGCTGGAGGAAGATCGCCAACCATCATGCAAGCTAACAGGGCTTTGATTCATGCGTGCAAATATGGCAACGTCAACGACGTGCGGCGGTGCATCGAGGAAGAAGGCTTCAATGTAGATGGTGCGGGAGACAACTGGACTCCCCTGATGTGGTGCGCCTATTATGGCCACGTCGATGCTGCTAAAGTGTTGGTTGAGCATGGTGCAAGCACCGACATCGTGTTTGATGGCAAAGATGCAATGGGCTGCGCGCGGGATAACAACCAGACTGCAATTATGGATTACTTGTCGTCCTTGCCCCTAAAGAAGCCAGTCGCCGTGCGACACAAGGACACCATGCCCACGATCAGTGCCGACGTATTGCTCCAAGCATGCAAGTCTGGAAACATCGACGACGCTCGCGTGTGTTTGAACGAGGGAATCGACGTGCGTGGCAAAGGTGATGACTGGAGTCCCTTGATGTGGAGCGCGTATCATGGCCATATCGATGTCGCGGTCCTTCTGCTGGAACACGGCGCAGATCTCAACTATGTGTTCGTTCACGATGGCATGACGGCGATGGATTGTGCAAAAGCCAACAATCAAATGGAATTCGTGGCATTCTTGAAGAAACAAGCTAAGGATGGTCGCCGCGTCCGCTTTACTTCGTCGACCATCGACCGTCCATCCGAGCTGCTTCTTCCGTCGTCCTGTGGACCTGCGGGCTGCTGTTCCATTATTTAGATTTGTGACTGTACGCGTCGCTCTTTTCTTCATCCAGTTGTGCCTTCAACACAAAGGCGTCGACTCTCGTGCTAGTTGTTGTGTACATAGCAACGTGGTTTGTCCGCACTGACAAGTATTCTGTCAGCTGATGCCTCGCATGATACATCATCAATCCTGCTGCTCTCTTCAGAAACACCCCGATGGCAACTATGTAGTCCAACGACAAAGAGTGATCCAAAGTGGAAACGTCGCGCGGCGACGGCCCCGGACGAGGCGACACCGACGCGTCCAACTTGCCACCACATGAGTTTTACTGAAAAGAGGTCGCCATTCACGCCAAACCTGTGCGCTTTTCGAACACGGGACGTGCTTGCATGAGCTAGAGGAGCTTTTTGGTCGTGCTCTCGACAAACCCATTCGGATAACACGAATTTATCCGGATGACTGTGGTAGTTAGTGTATGAAAAACAAGGCGCAACAGCGGTTGAAGGAAGCTCAGTCCAGTCGCCGCATCATCTCGGTGCATAGACGAAAAGAAATACGATGAAGGACCATGAGAGGATGAGCGCTAGCAGCGAAACTCGTTTTCACGTGCACATCATCATCCCATCCAACTGCACGTCGATGCTGCTGGGCAACGGCGGGGCAAACATTCGCCGCCTCGCGCACAATTCGTTCGTGCACTTGACAATTCGACCGCGGGGAGATTCCCCGCATCCCGACGATCGCCTTTTGGTCATTTCGGGCTTTACACGAAATGTGTTTCGCGCCATCCGCGACATTATTGCGGACATTCAGGCGCATACAGGATGCAACACGACCACGAACGTCGGCCCGCTCGTTGGAGACGAAGGCAGCACGTATGTGCTCGTCCCAAGTGTGTTTGCGACGCTGATGATGTTGAAGGGTGGCGAAAAGCTCAAAGAAATCGCCCATGCCACTGGCGCGCGTTTCCAGTTGTCTCCTGTCGAAGACATGCCGTTGGGCACGACTCTGCGCCGCCTGTACGTGCATGGCCCCGAGCCCGCTACCCGCAAAGCCGTGGCGCAAATTATGCACAAACTAGCAGAGTTCAATCAACTACCAAACGACAAGAAAGAAGACGAACTGACTTTAAAGACGGTTTTCCCGGAATCAGCCATGGAATACTTGGAGATGCCGACGCTCAAATTCATCATGCGCCAGCACGGCACAACTATCAAGATATTTCCGATCGGAAAGTCGAGCGAGTGCATCGTGACCATCTCTGGAACACTGAGTCGAATTCTTGCCACGGAGGACAACATATTGCACCTTCTCGACATGAATCGCGTGTCCATGGTGTACTTGCACAAGCAGTTGCTCCACGGCAGACCAACACAGCTACCGCTGAAGCGACCGTTGTCGCCGCCAATGGCCAACCAGTGCGCCAGTCTCTCGGGAGACACACTGGACCGAAGGAACCGTGACGACTGGGGTGGACGGGTCGTGCAGTTCCAGGCCACGCCTTTCAGCGCCTCCAAATCCCCTCCGTCGTCTGCCAATGTTACCAAAGCACCGTATCGAGAAGTCTTTCGTGGAGAGAACCATACCAAGCGGCCACGTCCAGATGATGCGGATATTGTAGCATCCCATCGCAAAGTTCGTCTTGTGCAGACCAACTACGACAGCAACACCGTGTCGCCAGCCCTTTTGGACATTCCCTCGAATGGAAAGCGCGTGAATCCGGGTCTCGACCTCAACGCGCCGCTGCCAACTCCTCGAAACAACGACCCTGCACGCACAGTAGTTCTCGCGCAGCAAACCGAGGCCCCGCGAACAGTACGACAAGTCACCACTTCACTAAGTGCTACGTCCAAAGACGGCACGATTGTGCTGTCCACCCAATCTTCGAGCGACAAATCCAACCGGGGCGTAACATCGACGACCTCAAGAACCATCAAAAACGACTGTTCGTCCAGCGACCGGGAGAATTTCCCTACACTCAAGACCTTACCACATGTACCCACAAAGCGCACAGAAGCTCCTGGACCTCAACCTGAACCACAGCCGAAAGCGACAAAGAAAAACACCACAACATCAAGTGTCAACATTCCTCCATCGACGATCAAACCTGACACCGACACGTCCGACAGCACCAGCAATCCTAAAAGTGCAACGACGCAAGTGCACTCAACCGTATTACATCGAACAAGACTGGGTCCTCGTACACCTCCTCCACCGAGTCCGGCGGCGGCATCTGCACCAGAAACGACGGAAGCAGCGAAACCAGCCGACCCTCGGTTGAAGTCGCCTACCGTGGCTGCCAGTGCCGCTCCGGTTGACCCGCGAGCGCCACGAGC